TTGCTTCCGAGAAACATGCAAAACGGGACGGAAAATATGAAATTTTGCAATAATCTTGCGCCATCCTTGCACAAAACGACGATCATTTTTCTAATTTCATAGATAACAGAATACTGTATTGTTTCTACATAAGCCCATGTAATCAGCACATTTAACTATTCAGCAATACTCGCCCTTCTGCCTCCCACATCTCGAAAAGCCGAATGCATGGAAGTCTGTGCTAAATTTGCATCATCTAAATTTTCAAATTTCGAGTACTCGCCGGCTATTTTTAACGATTTACTTACAAGAACAAAGGTCCACCTGTGAAAGCGATACAGGATAATTAGCGATTCGCCGAAACCCAATTTCTGGGGCTTTTTGGCAGCCGTTCAATGACTGAGCTGCGGACCTACGATACGAATTTCCTGATATCCCAAAAATAAAAACTCACTTCGCGCGGACTAGATAGAATTATTGGCAATCCGATGCGGAAATCGCCCATTTCATCGCATTTTTTCCAACAGGACAATTATATCGACAGATGCAGCCCCAGACGCTCTTTTAGCTGTTGGTGCAAGAGAACTATTTCAACGAACTGATAGAAATACATATATTCTCGAAAAATCAATGACTTAAAAAGTAACTTTTACATACAAAAACTATTAATTCCCATTAAAACACATTTGTCGGCTGCTGGAGGGTTGCAATTCCCGCCTAGTAAAAACAGCGTTAGAGAACTTAAAACAAATCAACGGTAAAAACAAACCATCAACTGAAGAAATAGTGGGAAAACCAAGTCGCAATTTTGTTCCACTTATTGAATTGACCTGGAAATCGTTTAGCTAGTAATTGTCTACCTCATTCATCCACAATCTTCCGTTTTTTCTTTTTCTTCTTCTCCACCAGTCCTTCATCACTAACTGCCCGTTTACTTTTACGTTTTTCCTTTGCCTCTACATTAGTATTGCTCTTAGATCCTTTGGCAACTACAGCGTCTTCATCAGCAAATGCCTGGCCCACATCCGTTAGGTTGTCGCCGCCAGTGGAGATCGAGTTGAAAATACTCAAAACATTCTCCTCCACGCCATCGCACGTAGATTTTCGTTGACTTTTCCGCTTGGCTTTTCGCATCACTTTCTTCTTGCGCTCAACTGCCTGTTGCAGGTTTTGCTTCACGCTGTGATCCAGACGGATTTCCTTCTTATAGCTGACTCCAAACAGCGGATGGCGCGACTTAGTTACACTCGGCAACGAAACGTCCTCTCTTACGGGTACTTCAATTTCATTCAGTGGCAGTTTGGGCAGAAACTGTTTGAAATAAATTACACTTTCCAGATCGACGAGTTTCGGTGTTTTCAAGCTAAGGATCACTGGATCGGGCTTCTTGGGAAGCGGCTGAAACACATACGCCATGTTGTTCAAACTGACTGGGCTCTCCTTGTTTAAGTAGCACTTTAGGTTGATCAAGCTGGAAGGATTGATGTGCTTGGGGACTAAAAGTAGGGAGTATTTCACACTGTTTTCTGGTAGGGTGGTTTTGATGTGTTGCTGCTCCAGTCCAGGAAAGTTTTTGTTCAGATTCTCTATCCAACTTGCCTGGAAAATGTAGAAATGGGAGTTTTACAGCATAGGAAATCTTTGGCGATCTCTCACCTTTTGCGAAATTGAACTTTGCAGGGGCGTTTCCTGCTCAGAATCGCTACTTTCAGACGCAAGCCCATTTGTTTCCACAATTAAATTTTGCTGTTTTGGTGCGGAAACTGGCGGCTCTGGGGCGGATTCTGGTAAACTTTCTCGCTTCGAACGCTAGTTGATAGAACAACTGGAATCTCCAGGAACGGAACATGATAAAACCTTAAATTACCTTTTTTGGTGGAGCCTCATCACTCTCTAAGCTGCTTTCGGATGGTTGGCGGCGTTTATTTCCTTTGGCTGCATTAACTGGAAGCGATTTCGATGCCGGCGAATCTTTACTACTGGCGCTCTTCGCCTTGTTGGGTGTTAGCGATGTTTTCCTTGGTTCAGATGACGCTTCAGAGGGTCGGCTTGAAGCTGCTTCTTCATCAGAACTACTATCAGTCGAGGTATCCTTGTTATTGAGCTGTGGTTTTCCCTTCAGTGGAAGAGATTGAGACGCGGGTTTTTGCTCTGAGTCTGCATCCGAAGCCTGAGAGAAGGATTCAAAAAATATTCAGAAAAACGTATTCAAAACTACCTCGTTCGAAGAACCAGCGTCACTGGAACTGCTTTCCTCTTCCTGCTGCTGTCTCTTCGGCTTGGCTACATGAAGAAACTTCGTTTGTAAAACAACTGCTTTGGGCACCGGCCCATTTTCACCACTTTCCCCTTGTCGTTGAGATGAGTTGCTTGATTGTGCTTCCTCATCAGAACTACTTTCACTCGCGGTGTTATTATTGATCTGCGGTTTTCCCTTTACCGGTGAAGACTTCGTCGTTTTTTCCTCGGATCTGCTGGCACCTGAATCCGACGCCTATAAGAAGATAATAGATAACACACAATGGATAAGACGAAAATAAGTATTCGAAACTACCTCATCCGAAGAACCAGCAGCATCGCTAGAACTGCTTTCGGTTTCTTCCTGTCTTCTTCGGTCTTTCCCGTTTGCTTTGGCCTCCGGTTGCGAAACATTTGCTTTGGGCACCGGCTCATCATCACTACCGCTACTGCTGCTTTCCTCTTTTCTATTCGGCGTTAAGGACTTTTTCTCGGTAATCTTTTCTGGTAAAGATCGGCGCGTTTTGCTATTCCCACCCAAATCCCAATCCTGCAACAAGTCCTTGATGGAGGAAAACCCGGGGAAAACCAAAGTTAATTTACCTTTTTCCGTGGTTCTTCTGGTTCTTCTTCCTCAGAGTCGCTGGCTGAATCTGTAGCAGGCGGTGCCTCCACTGGAGCGGCAGCCGCTACTTGTTTCTTTGCCGATTGGGATTTTTGTTTCTTCACTACTGATTTTTGCGAAGATTGTTTGGCTGATTCCATCAGTATACACGAATGAGACTTGCGCCTTTTCGCTTTATGCTGCTCGCCTGCAATCTTTTTCGCTAATTCTGCGGAGTCATCCTCCGAGCCCGATACTAGAACTTTGCCTAAAGATGCAGGCGCTGAAGCGCGCTGTTTCGGCTTTTTTGCACTTTCTTTCACTGGCACAGGCTTGGGTAAAGCTGGAGCCCCAGAGTCGCTTTCTGAGCCCGAAGACACTCTTTGCTTAATAGGCCGGGGAACGGAAACAGATTGCTTCTCTTTTTCCTGCTTGACTACCATAGGCGTAGGCACGGTGGATGTTTCAGAGTCGCCTTCTGAGTCGGACGTCGGCTGTGATTTTATTTGCACAGGAACGGATAAGGGTTTTTCCTGTTTCAGTTTCAACGGTTTAGGTAAAGCTGCATCTTCAGAGCTGCTGTCTGGCGCTGGAGACGCTCGAGTTTTAATTGGCTTGGGGACTGGAACTGGTTGTTTGTGTGTCGCTTTTTCCTGTTTGATCCGAATGGGAGTCGGAAGAGTTAACTCTTCTGCGGAGTCTTCGGACGCCCTTGTTTTAATCGGCGCGGGGACAGAACTGCGGCGCCTTTTGGGTTTAACCGGTGGCGGAGGCAAAGCATCTTCTTCAGAGCTGCTATCGGGCTGGTTAATCTATTGAAAAATAAAACTGGGGATCAGAAATGCCCGATGGTTTTTTTTTCAGGAACTTACCGGTGCTCTATTGGGGTTCCCTTGTGAATGGGACGATACATTCATATTGGACTTTTTAGTGATTGTTAGCAGTTTGCTGTTGGGCCGTTTCTGCAATTTTTCGGATTTCGATTTCCCTGCGCTATGGCGCTTAGTCGGCTTATCCTCTAAAACCAGTTTCTTCACGGGACTGGAGTGTGCAGCTACTGGGACTGTGGACTCATTGTCTGAACTAGAAGAATCCGAGCGGCCAAATGGAACCGTTGTAGACGTAGATATTGTACTGTCTTTCACAGTTCTTTGGCTGTTGAATGAGCTCAGTGTGTGGGTGGGTGTTTCATCTGCTGACTGGATTTGTTCCTGAAATTGAACGATCATTTTGCGGGTTCTTCATAAAACGGCTGGTCGACTTACTTTCACCGGCCTCAAAATTGGCACCTGCTTTCTTTGGGGCTCGGGCGTTGGCATCTCACCTTCAGAGCTGGACTGTTTTTCCTGTTTGAATATCCTTGATATGGACAAATCAGTTAGTTTGAGGTGTGGCGAGCTTTCGAAGGGATTTATGGTGGAGTTGACCACAGATGCTGCTGCACTTGAAAATAGCCTTTCCAATTCGTCCCGTTCTCTAGAAAGTGATCTGTAACTGCCCTTTTTGTCCGATTTCGGGCTAGAAACAGCTTTCCCGTCAGCAGTTTCGTTTTGAGTGTTTTGATTATGTTCATCTTCGGAAACTGGCTCAGTTTTGATCTTTTTTAGCACTGCAACGCTGTCATTCAGCTCCTTCGAGTGTCTTTTCCTCTTCTTGCTCAACCCGTCCAGTTCTCGATTCACCAGCTCAGAGATTAAGTTGTCGTTGTTGACTGAAGCTCTTTTGGGTTTGTTGTTGGCTGTTAAGGGCGACTTATCCGAAGAAGGCTTGTGTTTTTTAGTTAGATGCGCTTTGGCTTCAGCTAGGATCTGATCTATTAACTGACCGTTGCTCTTCTTGCTCTGGAACAGTGTTAAGAAGTAAACAAATTGGTCAACTAGGCCAAACTAGGCGGAAACTACCTTGCTGATGGATTTTGGGTGACTCGCATTGTCGGCCTCCATAGCTGATTACTGAAACAGTAAATCTGGTTTTAAAACACGGTGTTGGCTTTGGAGTTTGTGCGATTTTCCTGAAATTTTCAGGAAGATTTGCGATCAAATATGTCTTCTATTGGTGCGTGAAAAATTCAAGTTGAGAATTGGAGGTTGTCAAGTTTTAGACGCAGGCATATTAGGCGTGGAAACCTTCATTTGAGCCCAGCATTGAGTTGGCTGGCAAAAATCAGGGTTTCGCAGGATTTTACTGAAATTTTCTGGACTTTTAGATTGACGAGTCTTCTATCAATGGTCAAAATTTCTGGTTGGTGTTTAAACTCGACTGGATGTTGCACAGTTTTAAATAAGGGCGGTTAATTGTGTTCTGAGGACTCGGCTAATTCCTGTTGCTCTGAAACTTTTCCATATACATTTTACTGTTCCAGATATATTAAAAACTCTAATCAAATCATTTAGTTATGGGCCTTACTAAGTAGTCAAAGCAAGAGATTCATAAGCTACAGTTATACAAGTTGCTCTCAGCGCTGAGTTTTCAAAGCAAACTTTACCTTGCAATTGTGAACTTTTGCAGATATTTCATTGATCAACGGTTGGCTAATAATGCAACTTAACTAGGCCTGGATATAAAATCTCATTTTGACCATGTTTTTGGCAGATTTTGAAAAGCGCGGTTAGAGACAAAAATCATCTTTCCACATTTTCGACATGAAGGATGGCGCGAGACTTGTGAGAAAGTGACGTGAGTTGCGAGAAGGAGACAAAGCGTTTGCGTCGGATTATTATTATTTTGTGAAAAATAACGGATTAGAGCCGCTAGTGAAAGTATTAAATAAAATGTGTTTTGGGGAAAAATTTTAAAAATTATATATACAACATACTTTATTAATAGTGCCTAATAATCTTGATAATTAATCGCCGCTATCAGGCTCACACCTACAATAAAAAAATAAATAAGTCACAATAATGTACAGTTCAAAATATGTACAAATGTGCGTGAACTATTATAAAAAAATATAGAACATCAAATTTGAATGTACAACATGAAGTAGCTTCTACATACCTGACTAGCATAATTTCTAAAATAGATTATTGGTATTAGAGAGAACAATAAGAGTAAAAACCAACTTAAAAGCGATACAACATATAAACTAGTCCGTGATAAACAAAAAAGGTGTTTCTACACGAGAGAGTGCTGTTTGCAAATCTAAAACTATATGGACGATAGTGAAAACATAGTGAATGTGAACAAAACATAAAAATCCGCTATGGTTTTTCAAGCTTAGTTCATTGAAATCAGTTATAATTGCACAAAAATTTCTTATTGTCCGCTAAAATCGGTCCTATTGTTCCTAAAAAAATATCTACGGCACGATTAATTTTAAGCGTCACCTTAGAACGCTACAAATGACCGTTTAGAGTCACGCTGGTGATATCTTTGACGATCATTTCCGCTACTTTCCAGGCCATTTCCTCCTTTCGCTTATCCTCCTCGTCCAAGCTAACGATCTTCTTGACCACGTTCTTGAATTTGAAGCCATTGCGGTCCGGTTCCGGCTCGAACTCTGCTATGTACTTGCCCAGCTCGGTCACCCGTCCCAAAGACAAGCGATGGGTCTTTTTCCGCTTCCACAACGCATCTGGATCGTACAGTTCTCTGCTATCAATGCACATGTTGGTTTTGGCATCCTTTCTCTCATATGGCAGCTCCAGCGCCAAAAAGGTGCTTGTGCTGAAGCTCTTCTCGCTGCTACAGTCTGAGGGCGAGTAGGTTTTGTGCTCTATATTGGTTGAGTAGCCGCTAGCTTGCACTGTATTAATCAGCTCGGATAAGTACTTGAAAAACAGCTGGGAAGCCAGAAACGGCTTGAAGCAGTGCTTCTCTAAAAACCGCTCGACAATCTTCAGAGGTAGGTGGAAGCAATCAATGTCCAAACCATGCTCCCCACATATGTTTTGCTCTACCGTGAATCGAATCTTATCGGTAAATCCGAGCGGGCAGTGCGCTTGCAACGAGAAGTATTTGTCATACAAAACAATCGCATCGTTCTGAGCTTCGATCGGATCGAAAAACTCTTTCTGATCCCTCAATTGCTGTTGCAAATTGGTGGCAGCGATCCAGAACTCCAGCAAGCTTCGCTTGCTTTCCTGTTCCAGAAATTCCATGAAATAAAACAGAGCTGTTTCGTTGTATAGAATGTCATCGAGGACGATGTTAGAGCCGGTCAGGACATCAATGAGGTGCTTGGAGAAGAAGTCGGTTTCCAAAAAGGCGTTAAAATACTCATTTTTCATCAAATCAAACAGGTGTTTTTGCACTGAGTCAAAGCAGCTGCCCAGAATCAGCTTGTCTGCGTCGCAAATGCTTTCCATAATTTCATTCCTGAACTGTTCCGGGCAGTTGATGTTGAGCTTCGCTTCCAGGGCAATGTACTTCTTGAAAATGACCAAAGCCAACTCAACCAGCTTCAATGGAGAGCTCTTGTCCTTATCAGTTATATCACAAGGAGAATTGGCTTCTGAGCTTTTCTGATCGGAATTTGTCATGTAATCGTACAAGCTACTGGAGTCAGCAGTGAGTGAATCGCACTCTGTGCTCACCGAGAGACTGTCATGGTCTGATCTATTAGCCAGCGGCGAGTTACTGGAAGCCCCTTTGAGAGTATCGTCGCAGTTCTGAAGATCGGCTTTGAAAGTTTCTATGTCCAAATAGCAGAGAATATAGCAGGAGGCATTGCGCACCTCCATGTATTGGATAAAGTACCCCAACGCACTTTTGTCCCCTAGAATATCTCCCAGAGTTTTCGAAAGCCTCGATCTTTCTCTGGTCGCTTCGAATGTTTCAATGTCGCACAAACCTTCGTCCTCAAGTGGAACAGCCAATGGCTTTTCAATTGGCTGTGGTGAAGGTGTACAGTCATGATTCTTGCTCCGTTTATTGGCTGTAACATAAAGCAAATTCATAGAATTGCAATTGCAAAGAAAAAATCGTACACTTTGCAGAAATGCGTTCTTTATAAACACACCTAGATGCCCCTAAAACTGCACTTATTAACGGTGTTTACCTGCTTTCTTCCAAAACTTTAGCATTGCTCATGATCATGTACCTATGTTACGATAATCTGCACAAAATCACGCTGGAAAACAGGAAACTAAACCGGATAAACATTATATTTATATCAGGGCTTTATCTTCAGTGGTTTTCTATCAATTTTGACAACAGTCACGTCAATAAATGTGAAGTTGGTTGCAAGGCGACGTCAATATTTTATCCCTTTATGGTTTCCTATGACGACAACTAGGAGGAGGCGCAGTGGTTTTATATTGGTCTATTAATTCATTAATTATCCAGTGAAGTGCGGCAACGTTGTGTGCACGTTGAATGCGCTGCCTTGAAATGGCAGGCAAAGAAGAAGACGACAGCAAAAGTAAAATAAATATGGGGGACATGAAGTCCAGTACGTATTTCCACAGTTTAATTTCAATATTTTCCAATTTTAATCAAATCTCCGTATATTTCACACTAACTATAAATTGATTGCGTTTCAGACGAACCCTCGCATATTACGGCTTCAGTAAATTTAAGCATGGAAGGCCCTAACGACGATTCTTCATCCAAACAAGGTTGTTTGTATAAATATTTATTATTTATCAATCCTAATCAGTTTGTATTTACAGAAAATGATGCGTGCACTAACGGTATAGGGAAGGTCGACGATTTTAAAGTGTGCAGCCCTTCGAAGATGTGCAAAATGGAAAGTAAGAACTCATTGATCAGTGAGCATAACCACATGGGAAAAAGCATACTGAAACCATCCCTGCTGAGCTTAAGCTCAGCAGCTTCAAGCGGCTCAGTGATCAGACAAAGTAGTTTTAACCCATTCAGCCAACCGACTAAAAAGCCAGAAATCAGCGAGACCAAACAGATGAATGGGGAAAGTTTGAAGTTTGTCCCTTTGTTGAAAAGCAATTCCCAAATCTCAACCCGCGTGGAGCCTGCCAGCAGCCAATCGAACCACAGCCCCAAACCAAGCTCGCCAGCATTTGTTTTCGGGCAAAACATCCAGGAAAGAGTTGTCGCAGACGCCACAAGCTTGGAGCCAGTGGCTTCGACCAGCGCAACCGATTCAAATGGAATCACTTCGACCACAAGTGATATGCTGTTTAGTACAGCAATGAAAAGCGAAGCGAAGCCCGACACATCAAAGGAAAAAGACACCAAGTCGTTGACGGAATCGGCTCGTGAGTACGAGGAATCCAGAGCCACTAAACGAAAGTACGATGAAGTGGAAGTAAAAACCGGCGAAGAAGAAGAAACGAACATCATCAGTATATCATGCAAACTGTTTTCATTTGACAAGGCTTCGAGTAATTGGCAGGAGCGCGGCAGGGGTACTCTGAGACTTAATGACTTTGAAATCAGTGATGACCAAATGGGTAGCAGATTGGTTTTCAGAACGTCCGGAAGCCTGAGAGTAATATTAAATACCAAGGTATTTAATCCAGTTTATTTCCTGCAGGTTCAACCAAGGGACTAAGCGGTTTTTTTTTAGATCTGGGCCGGAATGACTGTGGATAAGGCAAGTGAGAAAAGCATCCGCCTAACGGCGTTAGACTCCAGTGGCGACATCAGAGTCTTCCTGATAATGGTTGGTGTTTTCCACTTATTTGTGTTGTGTGCAAGCCACAAAGTAATTGCTGTTTTTTCAGTCGACTATAGAAGACTCCAGGCATTTATACTCGCACCTACAGATGCGTCTCCAGAAAGAAATCTTCTTGCAAAAGCGGAAAAAGCTGCAATCGACAGACAATTGTTCGGAACAGCAGTAACACTATCATACTCCTTTAATTTTGTCTCACAACTATAGATTGTAGATACATGATAAAGTGGATTTCATTTTTTTCAAGCTTAACTTCGTTTAAAACTGTATATTTTGTAATTGGTAGTAATAATATCTTCTGCTTAATTCTCACCAGTTCTCATTTATTTGCCTTCATTATAATACCTTCACTTCCGAGATTCACGCACTGAAAAGTTTTTTCTGCCAAGTCCATCAGCTTTATAGAACATAAGCGACTGATTTCGTGTTGATGTTGCTGCGGCAAATCGGGCATTGGTCGGTGATATCTTCAGCGCAGTCCTCGCATAAACACACGTGCCCACACGGCAACAGTATTATCTAAAAAAAAAAACATTTTAAATGTGCCCTAATAGTTTTGTGGCTTCGCGTGCCTCAACTGGGTTGGACTTGCAGACGGCGCAAACATTTTCAAACAAATTATTAGGGTCCCGAATTTGCCTCCTCCTCTTCCTCCGTGTTTCCTCGATGTGGATCTTTTTGTTCTCTTCATCCTTTAGTCGCTTTCGCTTGTTCAAATACTTTTTCACAGCGATGCCAGCCACAACCACGCCAATTGCCGTGCAAATGAGCGCCACAACTCCATAGTTTCTCTTGGAGATTTCCAGCTTTTTCAGCAAACTACTCACGGGCATAGTTGTTAGGTAGAAAGGCTCCCCATTTGTTGGGGGCTGCAGCTTGAAGGAGCCATCTTGCTCAAAGACCAGCTGCCCTATTCCAGTCATCACGGTTCCTTCTCGCAGCATTTTCTCCGTCGATTGGATCCCCCGCTGTCTATACCCAGAGAAGAAGCCCCATATGTGGTCCATCATGCTGGGAACTGTGGGGTGAAACGTGTCGGAAATGGTGTCCATATCGAGGTATTCCGCCACTAGGGGATCAACCACTTCGACTACTACCCCTTTAGACTCCAGGCCGAATGGTATGACGTTATGGACCTCTTGGATGGTCCTTTCGGAGTCCGACCAGAAGCCCGAGGTGCTTCTTTGCACCACATGCTCCTTGATTTTCAAGGACTGGATCACTCCAGACACATTGGGGTTGTTGCTGCTGATTATGGGCACCCCAATCGGCTTCACGGCGCCTCTGATCGCTATGTAGGGCAACTTTGCGTCTGCATTGGCCAGAACCCGTTTTAGCTTCTTGTCTAGTGTCACCGTTGGCGTAGTCTAGAATAGAAATTAATAACCCAAAAAGTGCAATTTGCTTGCTCCCTTTGCTGGCTACTTACTGAGACTATTTTTGCCGACTTTTTCTTCCCGTAGTACTGCTTCAAGCATGTTAGAAGCACCACAGAGTCTATGCCCAAGGCGATGAATTCCACAATAAAATCCATCTTTGCCAAATGGACTGCTTGAGTTTAATTACCTAAACGCCGGGATTTGATGTGCAACCAATCAGCCCTACGAGCTACTTCAAGACATTGTTTTGTTATTTTTGTTTGGTTTTATTACATCACATGCGAAAATGCTAGGTTAACAGTTAACTCTTGGAAACACGTCTTTTTAACTGTCAAAAAGTCTCTAGAAATTTAGCAGCAGCTAATAGAAGAGCATAATCCTTGCGACGTTGCCACCCTTTGCCAATGAATAGGCGCGGTCAATTTCACAGATCACAGATTACCAAACTAACTCTTCTCAACTTTTTCTCAACAATATTTCGTCTTTGGTGTACATGAAAGTGTGTAGGTGCAGGCGTTTAACATTCATTGAAGTACTTACCTATACTAATGTTCTAAAAATGAACATATTTAATGAATAATTTAAAAAAATAGTTTCTAACTAATTCAATAAACATCTTGGTCAGCTGTTAGCTTAAAACCGCTTAATTATTCAGTCATTCCAATTGCTCTCTTGTTCCGTTTGTAATTATACTTTCAATAACAGCATAAACAGGAAACTAAAAAATATATGTTCTTAAAGGTAAATACGTTTAAATAATAATTTTTTACTTTAGGGTCGTTGAGCCAGTTTCATTTTCTTTTATTGCCCCTTGCCCTTTAGAGAAAAATAACAACTGCCACGCAGAAAAAAGGCAAAGCCGGAAAACGCTCTCACTTAATCTTACTCCTCACTATATAAGTTCACTTTAGAAAAAAGATTGAAGATTGAAGTCTCCCCATTTGACTATTGCTAAAACCAGTTCTAAGCAATAAAAATAGTTGTCTAAAAATTACTCGGATAAGCCCTCTATTACTAATCTTAAGACGAAATATTGTTGAGAAGAGTTAGTTTGGTAATCTGTGATCTTGTCTGTGACTACAAACGATAAATTGTGTAAGGCGGCTCCGTAAACGCAAGTTATCAGCCTCCTAGTTAAAAAGCAATACTGGTATATTTAGATGTTTGGAAATTGACCGCGCCTATTCATTGGCAAAGGGTGGCAACGTCGCAAGGGTTATGTTCTTACATTAGCCGCTGCTAGAAATTTGGGGTTAAACACGATCTGTCGGCGTTTGTCAAGCTTTGCTGCATGTTTGTTTTTCTCGATAGTTCGGGTTAGTGTTTATTGAGTAGTCACTGAAGCACCAATCAGGCTGAAATGGCTAATGGGCCAATAGCCGAGAGGAACAGAGGTAGGAAGTGTTGCGCCCCATTATTTCTCCCGCTTTTAACCGGATTTTCCAGATGCAACCATCTACGTTGGAGGCCTGGACGATAAAGTCTCCGAATCCCTCCTATGGGAGCTGTTCGTGCAGGCTGGACCTTTAGGTACTCTCACTCTTCCCACCGCGATCACCACATGCTTCAATTTCGTGCTTCCTTTCAGTGAACGTGCATATGCCCAAAGACAGAGTCACCATGATGCATCAAGGGTACGGTTTCGTGGAGTTCATGGGCGAGGAAGACGCTGATTATGCGATTAAAATCATGAACATGATCAAGCTATATGGGAAGCCGATCAGGGTCAATAAGGCTTCAGCGCATCAAAAGAACCTGGATGTTGGAGCCAACATTTTCATAGGAAACCTCGATCCGGAAGTGGATGAAAAGTTGCTTTACGACACGTTTTCTGCGTTTGGGGTCATACTTCAAACGCCAAAGGTAGTTTTTAGCCCCCTTGACAATTCGCCAGGCGCTCACCTTGACTTGTTTAGATCATGCGAGATCCCGAAACAGGCAATTCCAAAGGCTTCGCCTTCATCAATTTTGCCAGCTTCGAAGCTTCCGACGCGTCTATTGAAGCGATGAACGGCCAGTATTTGTGCAACAGATCCATATCGGTTTCGTATGCATTCAAAAAGGATTCCAAAGGCGAACGGCATGGCTCAGCGGCTGAGCGGTTGCTCGCCGCTCAGAACCCGCTGTCTCAAGCCGATAGGCCCCATCAATTGTTTGCTGATGCTCCACCCATGGGTAAATACGTTCAGACGGGTTTTAACAGATAATTATAACTATTCGTTGTAGGAATGATGGGGATGACGATGGCTCCGCCGCCACCGCCAGTTATTCTAAGCGGAATGATGCCGCCGCCACCACCCACTCCCGCGAGTATGGCACCGCCCCCGCCACCTCCAGTGCCTCCCCCGAGTTCATTCCCCTCAGGCATTCCTCCGCCTCCGTTGCCGCCGTCGCAACCTCCGCTACCTCCTGGGGCTCCGCCGCCGCCCCCATTGGGGGCCAGTGCGTCTGGATCCCGACCCCCCATGCCTCCAATGCCCCCCAGTTCAGGCTCCGTCCAGATGGGGCAAAGGATAATGCCGCCCCCTCCGTGGCAAACAGGCCCCGGCATGCCGCCACCTCCACCCGGGCCTCCTGGGTCTGGTAAGTTTCTCTCACATTACCAGTTCAGCGGAGGAAAATGTCGGGATTTTTCAGCTCCCAGTGCCAGCTTTCCTGGGATGTTCCCGCCGCCGCCCCCTCCTGGCGGAAGGCCTCCACCGCCAAATTGGCGG